CAGAGAGGTTTACATGGGGTACTTGTATGTATACTATCAAAGCAATCAGACTTGTGGTTTTTAACAAAAAGTCGAAAATATCACTTTTTACAAAATGTCAAAAATATTCTCCAAAATTAGAGAAATAAAGATATCATCACGAAATGAACAAATATGAGAGAGGTCTACATGGGGTACTTGTATGTATACTATTAAAACAATCAGACTTGCGGTTTTTAACAAGAATGTCAAAAACATTCGCCAAAATTAGAGAAATAAAGATATCATCACGAAATGAACAAATATGAGAGAGGTCTACATGGGGTACTTGTATGTATACAATCAAAGCAATCAGACTTGTGGTTTTTAACAAAAAGTCGAAAATATCACTTTTTACAAAATGTCAAAAATATTCACCAAAATTAGAGAAATAAAGATATCATCACGAAATGAACAAATATGAGAGAGGTCTACCTGGGGTACTTGTATGTATACTATCAAAGCAATCAGATTTGCGGTTTTTAAGAAGAATGTCAAAAATATTCACCAAAATTAGAGAAATAAAGATATCATCATGAAATGAACAAATATCAGAGAGGTTTACATGGAGTACTTGTATCTATGCTATCAAAGCAATCAGACTTGCGGTTTTTAAGAAGAAGTCGAAAATATCACTTTTTACAAAATGTCAAAAATATTCACCAAAATTAGAGAAATAAAGATATCACGAAATGAACAAAGATGAGAGAGGACTACCTGTAGTACCTATATGTGTACATGTAATATTACAAGAAGTTAAAACTATCACTTTTTATCAAAAATGACAAAAGTATTCATTAAAATTAGAGAATTAAAGATATCACAAAATGAACAAATCTAAGAGGTCTGCCCAAGTACATATACATCAAGTATCAAAGCAATAAGAATTGTAGTTTTCAAGAAAAAGTCAAAAAGTAAACAGTTTCCACAGACGCAGACGGTCCATCACTCATAATAATAATCTTTAGTGCATCCTTAAAAATACAATCAGTGTACAGCAGTAAAAGAAAGTTGAGTTAGTTAATAAGATAAAAGTAAATTAACTGAAAGTACCTATAGTAATGATTTTATGAGGAATTTTCATTTCTGAACTACTAGTAAGCTTATATGATACTCGTAAACTCCACTCGGCAAAGTTGACAGCAGAGCTAAAAAATACCTACACCTAGTACATCACTTAATGATTTAAAACACAAACAATTTTTGAATATTGATGTACATTTAACAGAGCAAATCTCATACATATATACACACTAGAGTACATCTCTAAGTATAATTTGGAAATAAACGCATTCTTTATTTTCAAAGAAAACTTTAAAACTGAGGTAATCAGTTTATAAAAGAACACAATTGTACAAAAATTAACTAGCAAGAATTAGAGTCTAAATTGAAATCAAGTGATTGAAGAAAGATCTTTATTTCTTTTACCATTCTCTACAATTACAATTGTTTACAAGATTGAATTAAACATGCTCAGATGAAATAGATACTGACCAAAAACCGGGAGTAATTGTCCTAAGGGTCATTATGAAAATACCCAAACATTTTAATGCCTAATTCTTTTCATCAAATTGTACAACAACATTTTATCAGTATTTTGGATCAATTTGACAATCTGTAATCAACTGCAGGATTCAATCAACATTTTTGAAAAAAAATAATTGTTTTGTGGAACAAGTTGTCTTTGGGTCAAAGAATAAGTCTGTAAACCTTTGCAATGCTGTATTGTGTATGCTTTGCTTATGGAATCTATGGTGTAGGTTTCTGACACTGTAAACATGATTACTTTAATAAAACAAGATAAAGTTTGTCATCAATATTTTGAAAATAATGAACGTCCACAGCATGCCATCAATCCAAAGTGTTTAGATAGATTGTAAAATATTTCAGTTACAGATCTAGCTCATTATGGTGTAAAATAACTTACATATTTAATTCTATTTTATTTGGGGGGTTGGAGGTAGTAAGTTTACTATTTGTACTGTATATGTGTGTATGGCATTTGAATAAAGATAACTTACATTACGTGACAGTTATTATTATACATCTACTAATCCAAGAACTATGCTAATTAGGACGAAGAATCTAATAATTATACAAATTTATGTTAATGGGTTCCGCTTGACCTCAACAGCAATTCAACATAAATATAAAAAAAAATCACCCTTCAATAAGGCTGACTTTAGTCTGAAAGTATATTATATATTATAATATTATATTCAAAATAAATTCAGGAAAGATTTAAAACTCAAAACTTGCTGATTTTGGACTATCATGTAACTTTGTATGAGTGAGTGAGGAACTTTTGCAGTGGTTATTAACAAGTTCTGTCAAAGTGGCAGTAGTATAGCTGATCTTCAAAGTCAATCGCTTTTCCTGGAAGCTACTACGTGCAATAAAACTTTCTAAAACAAATGCATGTCGTTGTATCTTTCATGAAAGCCTAAGTGAGCAGTTATGGCCTTTCTCAGGGTTCTAATATAGTACAAAAACAAATGCTTATTGATGTGTTGCATCATCAATTATGGAAATTTTGAATACTTCGCTCACATGAACTTTTCTTTCCAATGTTCATTAAAAGAGATATATAATAAGGTTACTAACAAAATACATCGCAGCTACCTTGGACAATAATTTGTTAATAATGTTTTTATCTTATCATAAATGATATCTCCATGTAGACCTGGATCCTATGTTGTAGATTCTTTGTAAAATGAGACAGCATAGACTAACGGCACTAGGATTAGCTACTGACATGCTTCAGCCATAGGTAAATTCATATATACTGGTAAAAAAGATATGCAAGTTTGTTAAACTGTCTACTATCAATATATGTGGTGCAATATGGCTGATTTATCCGATTTTTACTATTTTAGCCTCACATGGCAAGTTCAGTAATAACACTGAAAAGGAGACTACTGGCCAATAGATAAGTAATAGTTGGATGCAACTACTGAGCTACTATCATTAATTAACATCAACTGTTTCGGGCCAATCTTCGTTAAGAGTCCGAGGCACACATCACCTACCGGTAAGACTATTACCAGATTGAAGCTTCAGAACAGTCTGTTATTAACAACAGCAACCTAGTATAAGTAATCCAACAAAGTTATACCGAAAATTTGGTGATTTTTTTTTTCTGCAGCCCCATTGCAGGCTGTTTTGTATAGAATAATAAGCCAATGGCCTGTAGATGTCTGAACGATTTCTTTCTGGAAAACAGAATTCTTTCTTGTAAATGCAACAGGAAACACTCCTTTCCTCGTAAACAGGCATCGTTAAAACAAAAGAAAATGGTAAATACAACAGAAACTGAATGAAACCCTTTCTGAATGGAAAGTGAGCAGAATACATAGAACAATGGACACCAGGCAAATAGAGGTAAGCTGCAAACAGGTAAGCAGTAGGAGTGTATATAAAACTACAAACATCTTTGCTTCTTTCATTTACTATTCACTTGAACTCTCCCTCCATTCCGTGAATCATTATTCTGCATTAGTATCTTATCGCAGTTCTTCTCAAACATTTTCAGCATTTCAGGAAGTTCAAGATTACCGTCCAATACCTGCAGAAAATAATGACATTTATTGTATATTTATTAGAAATACATGGTAGTAGCGATAAATACTTTTTATATGCTTTATCGGAAGCTGTTTTTTGAAACAAAGAAAATAATCTTCACATCTTTTATATGTGGAGATCTGTGTTGCCATGACTACTCTAAAACATTTGCAAATTCCAGAAGTTTGGCAAAATAGCAGCATTGTACTTATGTACCTTAAAAGGTGAAAGTTGTTGTGCTGCGTTATGATATGATCCCTATGTGATGCGTGAAATACATTTTTTCTTTACAATAAATTTGAATTTACACAAGTATTGTCAGCAAAATTTTGTTTGAAGTCATTGTAATATGCATAATGTAATAAATAGTTACAAAATTCAATAGATAACTGCATTACAAATGTATTGTACAACATGTAGGATTCAACTAACACAAAACTAATGTTGGGGTATTGATGATAGTCAATTATGTTATAATCCTTTCTGAAAAATGTTCAACAGGGTTCTCCCCAGAAAAAATGCATAGCGCCGGGGCTAATTTGCATAATAATTTGCATATCATTTACATATCTTTCCTTCATTGATTAACAGAACTTATTTACAATTATGAATATTAGTGAGCTCAGTCACAGGGCAAATATTT